GGCAGCGGAGGCGGTGACGACGGTGGCGGCGGAGGCGGAGACACCTAAGAAGGGTCAGGCATCGAGGACTGTGCCGTAGGACCACCAGAGTCAGCAGACTCCTCAACCGGGACAACCGACGTAAGTGGGGGTGACGTGGGACACACCAAAGGGGGCAGGACGAGGAGGGGGAGGGGGAGGCGCAGGGGCTACCGGGGAAGGGGTGACCAGGAACAGGTTGGGGGTAACCAGGGGACCTCTGTGGGGAAAGCGTTGGTAGAAAGAGACGGACTCGTCAAAGGTGACGTCGCGGTAGTGAAAGAACCGGTGAGTCAGCGGGTGGTAGAAGTGCCAGTCAGACGCGTCAAGGGGGAAACCGAAGACACAGGGAAGGGTACGGGCAGTGAGCTTGTCCATGCCAGAGGCACGGACGTGAGCCAGGCAGCCCCAGATGTGAAATGCAGACGCGTCACCAGGTGGCCCAGACCAAAGAAGGGTCAGCGAAACCTGAGGCTGCTGGGGGTGCGGCCACAGGTTAAGCTGGTGAGCGGCGTAGCGAACGGCGAACGGCCAGAGAAAATGGGGTGCACCGGCATGGATCATGGAGGTGCAAGCCACCTCCATGACCAAGCCGATGCGTCGCTCTGCGACCCCATTCTGCTGCGGGGAGTCCGGCAAGGTGAACGTCTGGGTGATGCCCTCCGCACGACAGAAACGACCAAGTACACCGGAGGCAAACTCTCCACCGCGGTCGGAGTGGAGACGCAAGACAGGGAGACCGCAGTGGACACGCGCTGCGACAAGCCACGGGATGAGAACGTCAGGCACGTCGGCCTTCCGCTCCAGGGGGAACACAGTGGTGTAGTGTGTGTAGTTGTCGACAAGCACTAGGAAGTAGCGCTCTTGACGCAGCCCATGGACGGGGGCGGGGCCCCAGACGTCCATGTGCAGATTCTGTAGCGGTGCGGCGGTAGGGGGAAACGAGGAGGAGTGAGGAGCACGGCGGAGCCGACCCTCGACATAGGGCGTGCAAGGTGGGGCTGGGGAGGAGGGAAACTCAGGGAACGACCCAGGGAGGCCTAGGACAAGACCGTGCTGAAACATGTGACGCAGACGCGGGAGCGCAGGGTGACCTAGGCGGTGGTGCCTGAGGAGAGTCGGGTGCGAGAGTGACCTACAGGAGCAGGCAGCAGCTCCCTGAATAGACGCAGCCACCTGAGGGGGGGTCCCAGCCTGGGAGGTCACAGTGTCCAGTGTGAAAAGGCCAGACACCCGGTCCCGTGGGAACGTGGTAAGGGGGGCACCAGAGGCGGCCTCGGTACAGACAGCGTACTGCTCGTGACCAAGGAACGTAGTGGTGACGCCAAGGTCCTGGAGGCAGCCGACACCAACTAGGTTCCTGGAGAATGAGGGGATCTGCAGACCTGTGAGAGAGCCCCAAGGAACCGCCGGACAGGGAAGGGTGGTGGAACTGCGGAAGACTACAGGGCCGGAGGAGGGGTCAGCAAGAGAAACGGCAGCAGGGACAGGAAGCCGCGTCAGCGTGGTGGAGTCGCGAAAGAATCACCGGAAAGCACTGGAGTCCAAGGTGAAGGTAAGCGCGGCAGTGGCGGCCGGAGTGAAAGCAGCGACAGATGCACCAAGACCAAACAAAGCAGGGGATCCTACGCCTGACGCAGCAGGGGAGCCTAAGCTAGGCACACCTACACTAGGCAACAAGGGGTAATAAGAAGGAAGCACACTAGAGTCATCAGCATACATCACATGCAGGGCAGTAACAATTTCATCCTTATCCAAATCAAAGATCGGAACTCTACGACGAAGCAAGCTGTGCCAGTCTGGGAGCTCGCGCGACGGGCCGAAGCGCTGACGAAACAGGTCGTCCAGGCGACGGAAACAGCGGACTGAGGTGTGGCCGATCTTACCGCAAACGAAGCCAAGGCAAGGACCGGTCTGGAGCTGGTACTGACAGCGCGCGTCACCCGAACCACCACCCGGCTGCCCACCACGTGCACCACCACCACGTCCAGCGCCACCACCAGCGCCATGCCACCCGGGCGGGAGACCACTCACCCGCCTCTGCTGCTGCGGCTGCTGCTGCTGCTGTGGCTGCCGCGGCTTCTGCGGCGGCTGCGGCTGGCGCGTGTCCGGCTGCAAGACCTGCGGCTGCGGAGACGGCTGCTCGGCTGCACCTGTCAGGGTCCCCTCCTCCGCGCCACCACCAGGTGACCCAACTCCAGCACCACCGACACCTGCACCCCCACCACCGCCGCCACGCCCAGCCTTGGGGCGGCGACCCTTCCCCGGACGGACCTGTACTGCAGCGGCGGTCTCAGCCACAGCAGCAGAATCGTCGGAGAAGGTGCACTGAGTGGGGGCACAACCCTGAAAGATAGGGACCGGCACAGTACCGCTGGTCTGAGCGATAGAACAGTGGCGGGCCTCTATAGTGGACAGGGTGTCAACAAAGTCAGTGAGGGTGAGGTCTCCGGGGTGGATGCTAAGGAAGCGGTCACGGGCAGTGGCAAGGCGGTCAGGGAGGCGGGTGGCCAGCAGGTAGAGAGCTGAGCAGAGGGGCGGCTAGTGAGCGCGAAGCTGTGTGTCAGTGCAGGCAGCGCGCCAGGTCTCGTCTATAGTGCGCAGGTGGGCGGCCAGGTCAGCGACAGTGGGGAATGACGCAAGGTCAGGGAAGAGCATGGGGAGGATCAGGCGACCTACTGAGGCAGCAGGCGGGGTGGAGTAGCGCTGGATAACAGCAGCTAGGAAAGGCTGAGCAGTGGTGATAGACCTAAAGCGAGGGCGCTCAGGCAGGGGGAGGGCATTGCTGATCGCAAGCTGTGCGACAGCATCACGCGTCAGCCTGACGGAGCGAGCAAGGGCTACGGCCGCAGCGGACTCACGCTCAGTAGACGAGGGGTCAGCGGGCAGCGCAGCATGGGGGTCAGGGCAGGGGAGCATGCCGTCAAGATGGGTAGACAGCGAGTGGCCATCCTGCCGCTGACTAGTGAGGTGGCGGCGGAGGTCGGCCAGCCACGCCTCAAACTCAAGCGGCTGGCCCTCAGCGTCAAAGCGAAGCACCTCCGCCATCAAGGACAATGGAGGGCAGTGTAGAGCAGTACAGTGCGGTGCAGTGCGGCGCGGGCAGTGCAGCGCGATGCAGTGCGGTGCACAGCGGTGGTGTGCAGTGCAGTGCGGTGCAAGGAGGTGCAGTGCGGTGCAAAGCGGTGCAGTGCGGTGCAAAGCGGTGCAGTGCGGTACAAAGCGGTGCAGTACGGTATTGGGGGAGGTTCGCAGGGCAGTGCTGGTCGTGAAGAACGGGCCGAACTCGAGGCGGTGGCGGGCTGGCGACGTCGCGAAGGCGGGGCCGGCGGACGGCGAACGCGAGGGGCGGCGATGCACGGCGGACGGCGGGCGCAAGGGGCCGGCAAGGAGCGGGCGCGACGGGGGCCGGCTAGGAGTGGGCACGGCAGCACGAGGGGCCGGCTAGGAACGACCGCGCGACGGCGGATAGAGACGGCCGCGACGGCGGCCAGGGACAGCAGCGACGGCGGCGAGGGGCGGCCGCGACGGGGGCTAGGGTCGAGCGCGACCGCAGCTAGGGGCGGCCGCGACAACGAGGAGCAGCCATGAGGCAGCTGGAAACGGCAGCGGCGGCGGCTAGGGGCAGCCGCGACGACTAGGAGCGGCCGTGAGGCGGCCAGAAACGGCAGCGGCGGCGGCTAGGGGCGGCTGGAAGCGACATCGACGGCGGCTAGGGGCGGCCACGACGGCTAGGAGCGGCCGTGATGCGGCTAGAAACGGCAGCGACGGTGGCTAGGAACGGCCGCGACGGCTAGGAACGGCCGCGACGGTGGCTAAGGACGACCGCGACGGCTAGGAACGGCCGCGAGAACGGGTAAGAACGACTGCGACGGCAGCTAGGAGCGGTCGCGACGGCTAGGAACGGCCGCGACGGCGGCTAGAAACGGTCGAGACGGCGGCTAGGAACCGTCGCGACGGCTAGGAACGACCACGACCGCGGCTAGGAATGGTCGCGACGGCTAGGAAAGGCCACGAGACGGCGGCTAGGGACGGCCGCGACGGCTAGGAACGGCCGCGAGACGGCTAGGGACGGTCGCGACGACGGCTAGGGACGGCCGCGAGACGACTAGGGACAGCCGCGACTGCTAGGAACGGGCACGACAGTGTCTAGGAACGGCCGCAATGGCTGCTAGGAATGGGCGAGACGGCGACTAGGGGCAGGCGCGACGGCTAGGGGCGGGCGTGACGGTGGCTAGATCCTAGGGCGGAAGCGTGGGCGGGCTAGGGGGGGACCTAACCTACTTTGATACCATCTTAGAGTGAATAATTGACTAGAATAAAAGGATACAAGGGTATATAGACTAGGGTGCTGTACCCTCTAAGGCACAATCCAGTATAGTCTACAGTAACGACCTAAGTGATATTTGACAGGCTAGGTCCTAGGGCGGGAGCGCTAGTGGGCGGGGGGGACCTTCCTACTCATGATACCATATTGAAGTGAATGAAATAACTAGAATTTAGACATACAAATGAATATAACCTAATGGATTGTACTCCCTAAGGCATAACCCTATATAGTCTATAACAACATACAATATATGTTTGACAGTGCCCTCCTTTAAAAGGTGGGAGAGTGTAAGGAATTTCCATTCGTTACTGGGGTTCGCCACAGCGAGTACACGCGAACCTCTCGGTTCCGCAGGCTCGGCCCTCACGAGCCAAACCAACAACCGTCGACCTCGACGACCCCAACCTGATCCCGAGTCGCCCCGAACCCATTTTGACCCCGTCACCCTCGGGAAAACCGAGCCCTTGACTGGTCCAACCCTCGATATTGCCTAGGCCTAAGTATTTTGTGCAATTATGTAATCACGTTCGCCTTTTAGTATACTGCGCTATAGGCTGAGTTATAATTCATAACACTTGCCCTCATCTACCGCGCTCTAAAATCCCATATACCAAACCCTCATGGGCTTCCGCAGCCTCCATTGTTCGTTACTAGGGACGAGACGGCCGTGCGCATGGGGCTTCGCTTCTCCTCACCATCCTCGCGTGCGTGGTTGTCCGTACCTTTCTCCCATTCCTCTTCCGTCTCTTCGCTGCGCGTGCCACCGGACCCATCTCTCCGCTCACTTCGTGTCGGCGTGTAGTTATTAGTTCCATAAAGAAAGGATAAAAAGAGAAATAAAAAAACAAATTCCATGGACGATCACCAGGTAGTGGGCGACTTCCACAGGGTCAAGCCTAAGCGCTATGCGCCGGCTGCGCCTGCGGAGACGGCGGAGGCGGGGTTCTGGCGCAGCTTCCGGCGGAAAGCCACGGAACCGCTGATCGGCAACGTGACGGCCATCGACTTCTGCCCCTCCGCGCCCTACCACTTCGCCGCCACCAACTCCACTCGCGTGCGCTCCCTCCCCGCATTCTCTCTCGCACCCTCACATCCCCGCTCCCCCTATTCCCCCGCCCCGTCCCCCCGTCCTCCTCCGTTCTTTTTGGTTCCGCGTGATCCCGGACTCCCTCATCCGCCGTTTCCGCGCCGTGCTTCGTCGTTTGTGCCTACCATCCCGCTCTCACGCTCCCCGCGCCGTGATCGCTTTGATCGAGCTCTCTCTCTCATCGGCGGAGGTGCCAGCGGAGCGCGGACGAGGGGGAGGGGGAGGGGGAGCGGGGGTGCAGGGGGTGGTGGTGGGAGGGGAGGAGTGGGAGTATATGGGAAGGGGGTGGGAGGGAGAGGGAGATTGGAAGCTGATTTTGCGGCATTTGATTGTAGCGCGAGCACTCCGTGGTGCAGGGCAGGCCTTCACCCGTGATGCGCGGTTCTTAGTCCACGGGGAGTTTGTCCGCGAGGCACAGGGGCGGATTGCGGAGCTTGTAGACTCGGCTTGGGGTGTGCAGGGTTTATGGAGACGGCGAAGGGGCGTAGGGCTTTGTAGCCATGTGTACCCCTGTGCAGCGCTAAAACCCTGTGCGGTGCTTCAATCCTGTGATGTTTTGCCAGCCCTTGGCAACTCATTCCCCGTGACATCTAAAACCCCGTGCGTTAAACCCTGCAGGTGACGGTGTACAGTGGCCTCACCAGGGAGCCCCTTAAAACCTTCTCCCGCTTTAAAGGACTCGTAAGCCCTCAACCCCCTCTCAGCACCTCCCCTCGCCCTTCTCTCCCCCCTCCTCCTCTGCCTCCATTCCTTATGCTCACCGCCTCTCCTCTAGTTTCCACCTCGCTTGCCATTCTCTTGTAGACTTGAACAGTCTACCATTCTTTCCTCTTTAAGCACAGCCCCTCGTTTCAACGCCACACCTGAACCCTCTCTCCCCCCACCCCCCCCCTCCTCTCCGCACCTTCCCTGTGCGCCAGGCCTACAGCGGTCGCTTCAGGGCGGATGGCAAGCTTCTAGTGGCAGGGGGGGACAGAGGCATAGTGCAGGTGAGGGGCAGTGTGCTGAGATCGTGCCACTTATGGTGGGGTGCGAGGTTTGGGGGGGGGGGCGGGGGCGGAGGACTGGAGAGCTGCGGAGAGGAGGCTCGGGGAGAGGCGGGGAGAGGAGGGGATAGGGGTGAATTAAGGAGCTGCTGTGCAATTATGGGGGGAAGGCGTAGGTAGGTTTGGGTAGTAACAATCTATTCTTGAACTGCGTTTCTAACCACCGCCCCTTGTTGCATGATGCATCTGTGGGGGCCCTACTTCTTTCTCGCTTGGTGCTTTCCTGCCTGCAGCCCGGCACCTCTTGGTCGTTCTACCGAACTCACATTGCTCGCGTTTCACCCGCACTTCAAATCCCTTTCGAATCCGCCTCCCCTCTCCCCGGCACCTAGTTCCTTCTCCTTCCCTGTCCACCCCTTTGACCCGTCTGCCAACCCACCATCCCGCATGCCGTCTCCCCCCTTCCCCTCTCCGTGTGCCTTGTTCCTTCGTGCAGGTGTTTGATGCCACCAACCGCACTGTGCTCAGACAGCTCAACGGCCACACAGAGTAAGCACGAGAGCACGTGCGGCAAGCATGTGTATCCACGAGTTCGCGAATGCATCCACTCACACCCCCACCCACTCCCACCCACCCCCACCCACCTGCCTACCCACCCACCTGCTCTGCATACCTCTTGCCCCTAATTTCTTTCCGTCCTCTTCCCCTTTCCGCTCCCGCTCATTCTTTTTTCCTTGCTCTTTTTACCTTTTTCCTTGCAAAAAAACGGCGTTTTTTACCTTTTTTGATCGTTTAAAACGGGATGGTATAAAACGGTCGTATAATACGATTAAAACGGTCGAAAGTTGCATTTTGCGTCTTGGTGCAAAAAAACGGCCGTTTTATACGACCGTTTTTTTCGTACGACCGTATAATACGGTGTACATTGTTTTTGGCTGAGCTAATAACGCTTAGGAGGAGGAGGACTAGGGGGGGAGGACTAGATGGATGGCGATTAGGAGGAGGAGGACGGGGGGGATGGTGGAGTAGGAGCAGAATGAGACCTAGAAGGCGACGGACTAGGGGCATGGACATCACATGCCTGTTTCAAAGCCGCTAATTACCCCGTAGAACGATGCAGGCCGCCTTAGCAATCAGGCCACTTGTTTACGCGTGCTTGTTATACATAAAAAAAAAAAAAATCATGAAAAAAGGTCGAACAAAAAACGTCGTTTTTTACCAAAACCCACCGTAAAAAACGGCTGTTTAAAACGGACCGTTTAATACGGATGCCGTTTTTTTGCACCTTGTTTCTTCCTCATTCCCCTCTGCCTTCCTCTCGCCCCCACCTTCCTTGACCACCCTCCCCTTCATCGCACCCCTCGGCCGCATTCCCCTCCTACCTGCCTGCAGCTTCTCTTCCTTCCCCTGCCCGCCCTCTTCTCTTGTTATTGCTGCCCTCTCAACCCGACCACCCCTTCCGTGGGCACACGCACACTCCTCCTGCCTTTCTTACCCTGCTGCTCCACACCCAACCCTTCTGCCCTCAACCCGTCCCAACCTCCTCCCCCCCTCCGTTCCGTGCGGGGCGCAGTGCGGTGCGGGCGGTGCGCTTTGCCCTGGACAAGGTGCATCTCATGTCCGGCGGGGACGACTGTGCGCTGCGCTGGTGGGACGTCAGCTCGCAGGTCCGTCCGTGCTGCTGCTGCTGCTGCTGCTGCTGCTGCTGCTGCTCGTCGTGTGCTTATGTCTCTTCTCCTCTCGTCTCGTCCCCTTCTCTGCTCCTTCTCCTTCTCTCTTTTTAGCTCTTCTTCTCTCCTTCTCTCTTTTTAGCTCTTCTTCTTTCCGCACGCACCCCTACCTCCCTGCCAAACCCCTCCTCGCTCTCCTCCCGCCCTGTCCCGGCCCGTGCCGTTCCCGTGCTGCCTCTTCTCCCTGCCGTCCTTGCCATGCCGCCCCATCTGCTCCCTGCCCTGCCCTCCCTCACTCCCCGCACTAGCGGTGCCTCTCACCTCAGCCCGCCCCCAGTAGCTCCTCAATGCCTCTCATCTATCTCCCTCGTCCTTGCCGCTCCCCTTCCCCCGGCCCATCGCAGGAGCCCCTGCGCAAGATGACCGCTTGTACGGACTACATGCGTTGCCTGTCGCCTGTTCCACACTTTCCCCTCAACCTCGTTCTTGCTTGTCCTCCCTACCCACCCCTGCCCCCCACCTCCGGACCCTCTGTGCACGATTGCAGTGCATTCGGACTAAGTGCACTGCCTCTCGCCCCTTCCCCACTTTCGTCTCAACCTCGCCTCTTCCCCCCCTTCCTACCCCCCTCCCTCTCCCTCCCTCCCCTCCCCCTCACCCCCCTCCCTCCCCCCACGGCAGGAGCCCCTGCGCAAGATGGCGGTGCACTCAGACTACGTGCGCTGCCTGTCCACCAACCCTGCCTCGGCGGACCTGTGGGCATCGGGGTCATACGACCACAGCGTGCTCGTGTGGGACGTGCGCGTGCGCGACCCCGTGTTGCGCTTCCAGGTGAGCCGCCGTGCTATTGTGCTGTTGCATGCCTCGACTGCTCTGCCTCCCGTTTACTGCCTCCCCACCTGCTTTCACTTGATTCCCACATATTTTTTTTCCCACACCTCCCTGTCCCTCCCCTCGCCCCCGTAGGCCCCCCTTCCCGTCTTCATCTCAACCCCTTGTCCTTCCTCCCTCTCCTCCTCCCCCTCCTGCTCCCCCGCCCCCCCCACTTGTCTCTGCCCTCCGTGCAGCACGCGCATCCAGTGGAGGACGTGCTCTTCTACCCCAATGGCACCATGCTGGCTGTTGCAGGTACGCTGCCCTGCCATGCCCTGCCATGCCATGCCACATGCTTCCTCTTCACCCACCGTCTCCCTCCCCCTCGTTCGTCACCTTCCTGCCCTGCCTTACCTGATTCCCCTCCCTTCATTCCCTCCTCTCCCTTCCCTCCCCCCTCCTCCCCCCCTCTTTCCCCCCTCTTCCCCCCCTCAGCCGGCCCGCAGGTGTCAGTATGGGACATGCTTAAAGGCGGTGCGTCGCCCACAGCACTGCTGGCCTCCCAACCACCCTCCCAGCAGCAGCAGGGCAGCAGCATAGTGACATCCGTGACGTCCCACTCACGGCCGCTCTACCTGCTGGGCAACCACCAGAAGGCTGTCACGTGCCTGCACGTCACTCCGCCCATCTCCCTGGGCCACGGCGACCGCCCCTTCCCTGCTCGCCTGCTCACAGGGTCGCTGGACGGCCACGTGCGCGTGTTCAGCCTCAGTGACTACAAGGTGGGGCTGGAATGAGGCGGGCTGGAATGAGGCGGGCTGGAATGAGGCGGGCTGGAATGAGGCGGGCTGGAATGAGGCGGGCTGGAATGAGGCGGGCTGGAATGAGGCGGGCTGGAATGAGGCGGGCTGGAATGAGGCTGGCTGGAATGGGGCGGGCTGGAATGGGGCGGGCTGGAATGGGGCGGGCTGGAATGAGGCGGGCTGGAATGAGGCGGGCTGGAATGAGGCGGGCTGGAATGAGGCGGGCTGGAATGAGGCGGGCTGGAATGAGGCGGGCTGGAATGAGGCGGGCTGGAATGAGGTGACTGCAAGGTGGGTGTAGCGTTTCTGGTTGTGGCCACCCACTTCTCCCCCCTCTTCTCCACAGCCCATTCACCACAGCCCCTCTTCTCCCCCCTCCCCCCATCATGTGACGTGCATGGCTTCGTACCCCAGCCCCATGCCCATTCATGTTCTGCTTTGTAACACCTGAAATCTCCCTGCCACCTTCCCTTCCGTCACCCTGCATCTCCACCCCTCCCCCCGCCCACCAGGTGAAGCACATGGCACGGTACGACGGCCCCATCCTCTCCCTGGGCATGTCATGCCGCGGCACCACACTAGCCGTGGGCATGGCGGGGGGGCAGGTGGCCATCCGCCACCGCACCCCGCCCGACAGTGAGCGCCGCCACCTGCAGCTCGCGGCAGCAGCGGCTGCGGTGCCGCGTGTGCCAGGCATGCAGAAGAGCACAACGAAACGGGGGAGCAAAGGGCGCATGCACGGGCCGCTGCAGACCGCCAACTTCAGATACTTGGTCCGCGGGCAGACGGAAGAGGCTGCGGTGAGTGCTGCCTCTGCGTTTTCGCTCCTCCCGCAGTTTCCTCACGCTTTGCCATCTCCCTGTCTTGCGTGTACATCCATGCTGCGCCACAGCACCAAGCAATGCCAGCGTCTGCTGCCACCAGCACCCGCTGCCAACAGCACCCGCTGTCACCAGTATCGTTGGTTGGCAATACTTTACACAGCACATCAGCTAACAGCGCCTGCATCTTGTCCGTGCATGCCACAAGCACCCGATCCCCGCTCTCCTTTTCCAGCCATCCTCTCCCCGTCCCCTTCCCTTTCCTTCCCTCCCCACACCATCCCTCCCCTCGCCCCCCTGTGTGCGGGGCGGAGGATTACTTGGCGGCGCAGAGCAAGCGAGCACATCTCGCAGCTTGCGATAACAAGCAAGCACCTCCTTCCCACTCCCCTTTCCTAACTTCCATCTCCCCCCACACCTTCCGCCCCCCCCATCTCTGGCAGGCGGAGGACTACCTGGTGGCGCAGCGCAAGCGCGTGCACCTAGCAGTGCACGACAACAAGCTGCGGCGCTTCCAGCACTCCGCCGCGCTCAGAGCCGCTATGCAGGACGCTTCACTGGAGAAACCCGAGGTGAGACGCGGGGAGTGGTGGGGGGATTGCAGGTAGACATGATCAAAACGCGATTGCGATTTAAATCGCATCGCATGCAGGGGCGATGTTTTAAAAAGCGATGCGATTTTAAATCGCATCGCGCGATTTATTTTTCAAAAAAAAAATCGCAAATCGCATTTTACCCGCGATGTATTAAAATATCGCATGCGATATTTAATTAAATCGCGCAATGCGATTTTAAATCGCATCGCGTTTTACAACAGAATTAAAAAACACCCCAAAAAAACAGAAAAAAAAAAACATGGCTGCGAGGAAATTGACTCACGGGCAGTCGTAAGCTAGAGTGCAAATAACCAGTGTGGTTTCGTAGTGGGTTTCAGAGTGGGTTTCAATACAATATCGCGCGCGTTTTTTTTTTAATCGCATATCGCATTTTAATCGCGTTTTTTAACGCGAATAAAATGCGATTTAAATTAAATCGCGCGATATTAATTCATCGCATCGCGCGAAACAAAAAAAAAAAAAAAAAAAAAAAACAAAAAACATCGCCATCGCAAAAACGCGATTAAATGCGATGCTGCAATTTGCAGGGGAAATAGGCGGTTGAGAAGGTGATTTTTGTATGGTTGTGTGGATGTGTGTGTCCGCCTGCCGGCTGTGCTCAGGTCGTGTGACTGGAGAACCCAGAGGTGAGGCACGGGGAGAGGGAAGGGGGAGAGGGGCGAAGGGGGGGGAGGATGTATGGTTGGGTGGGGGAGTGGGAGGGAGGACATGTGTGTCTGCCCCTGGGCTGCGCTCACAGCCAATGAAAGGGGGAGTACATACGTGGATCCCTGTGTGCCTGCGTTTTATTTCAAGTCAGGGGTGAGGCAGGGGGGGGGGACAATTGGAGAGTAGATGGATGCTGTGGAGCCGTGCACCATGCACTGGAACCCAGCAGCCAAACAGAATTGTGGTCGGGCATTGCTCCTCTAGTAACTGGTTTGCTCAAGTATGCTTCCTTCCTCCATCCTACTAATTTACCATCCTTGCCCCTCTCCTCTTTCCATTCCCCCTGCTTCCATCTCTCACCGCCGTCTTCCATGCTCCATGCTGATAGCGCTGCTGAAGGGGATGCTCAAAACGTGCAGACGTTTGAAGCCCCTCATGAATCTGCCCTTCCCAACCCCAACCCCTCTTCTTCCCCCCCTCTCCCCCCCAAACCGCTCGCTTACCGCCCCCCCTTCAGATGCTGATAGCGGTGTTGGAGGAGATGATCGCTCGCAACGTACTGGCCAACGCCATAGCGGTGCTCCCAGTGAAGTCACTCAGCCGTTTCCTGCAGTTCTGCCGAAAGTAACTCTCTTCACTCTTACGTACCACCCCATACCATCGCATGCCATCCCGTGCCATCCCATGCCATCCCATCCATCCCTCTTGTGTAGTTTGCATTCCTCGCCGCCATTTCTTTACAGATGCTTCCACCTTGCCGCATTCCCCTACACCCCACCCCCTGCAACAATGCTCGAACTCCTCTCGCAGCCACATCTCCATTCCCTACCACTGCACCTCTATCCACGCCCTGCCACACACTCTCTCCACATATTTTTTGTCCCCAAACCACCCTCCTCATCCCAACCCTCCTGTTTTCTTCACTTGGTTGCCTTCTCTCCGCCTTACCCCTCACCCCCTCACCCTTCACATCGCCCCACCCCATGTGCCGCTCCCAGGCTGGTGCCGAACCCGCGGTACAGCACGTTCCTCATCCCCATCCTGCACATGGTGCTGGACCTCAGAGCGCAGCACGTGGCTGCCACACCACGACTGCAGCAGGGGGTATGTCCTGAAGATGGTTATTGCTTTAGCATGAATTACCTCCCTCGCTGCTGCGCTTGTATGCTGGACTCTCTGCTGCTGCCATAGCCCATTCCTTGCTCGCAGCATCTGAGTTTTGTCCAAAATCCCTCCCGACTTCATTCTGTCTCTTGTTTCGTTTGTTGCTCACTCTTCCTCTTTTCCAGCTGTACAATGCCCCCATGCGTCCCTCCATTCACCACCTTCTCCTCCCCTTACTCCCCGTTATGCTTCCCTCTTTGACTCTCCGCGCCCCCATCTATCTCTCCCCTCCCCCTCTCCCCCACAGTTCCATGTGCTGGCGCAAGTGGTGGGAGCGGAGGCCCATGCGCTGTCAGAGCTAGCGGAGCTGCAGGGCTTTGTGCTGCCCCTGCTGCGAGCGTCCACTGCTGCCAACGCCACCGCGGAGGGGATTGCCGCTGCTGCAACGCTGGAGGGAGGAGGCTTGGAGGATGATACAGGTGTACTGTGATGTGTGCTTTAGTGAACAAAAATTAGGTTAGGTGGAGAAGGCGATGGTTGCATCGTGAGACGAGACGATTCTATTCCCATTCGGTCAAAATGCAAATTTCGAGAGCCGATGGAAAAAATCAAGTGTCCCAATTCTCCTGGCTCGCCTCCTGACCTAGCCCTAGCCCTAGCGCACCGTATGCCCCGCTGGCCCTAGCGCCTCGTAGGCTCTGTTGCACTGCCCACACCGCACCGCGCCCTAGCCTGCCCCCACGCCCGTGCCTATGCGCGTGCCCAGCCCGCGCCGCGCCCGTGCTCCTGCCCCGCCACACCGCTGCTCGCTGCACCTGCCGCGCCCCGCCGCGCCTGTCGCGCCTGCTGCGCCGCGCCACCCCACGACGCCCCACGCCTGCCGCACCACCCTGCGGAGCACCTGCCGCGCTGCCCCGCGCAGCGCCTGCCGTGCCTACAGCGTCTACCGCACCCGCGCCCTGCCCGTGCCCTGCCGCGCCTGCCGCGCTGCGCCTTCCGCGCCACCCCGCGCCTGCCGTACCGCGCCCGCGCCCTGCCCGCTCCACCCCGTCCCGCGCCTTGCTTGAGCCCCGCCCACGCTTTGCCGCCCCCGCCGGCCCTGCGGCTGGACCTCTCGTTGGACCTGCCCCTGGCCCTACCGCCGCCACTGCCGTCGGATATGCTGCCGTGCACCACCCTCGTCAGCACTAGTCGCTGTCCGGTTACGTGCGGCGTCTTGGTCTCCTGCCATCATGGCGGCCCCGTCGCCGTCGGTGTTCGTCCTGCGGCTGGATGCCAAAGGCCGCGCAGTCGCTTTCGCGGCCTGGCTTTCCGCCTTGCGCAATCAGCTGACGAGCCAGTGCCTGGAGGACGAGTCGCTCGCGGCCCACGTCACTAGTGAGCTGTCCGCCCCCTCCCACCCCGCTCCCCTTGGCGCCGAGGCAATGTCAGAGCAGCGTGTAGAGAACAAGGCTGTCAGGACCGCCCTCTCCTGGAGTCACACAACGACGCTGCGCAGGTTGCCATGAGCCGGTGCATGCCGGTCGACGACCTCTCCCAACTCGCGTCGGAGGAGACGGCTCAGGCCCTCTGGGAGGCGATCATCGCCGCTACTCGACCCCGACCTCCACCACCCTCAGTCGCCTGTTCCTCCCGTTTCTCTTCCCCAACCTGGTCTCATTCCTCATGGTCACGGACCTCGTCTCGCACCTGCATTCCCTCGAGGCTCGCTACCGCGCTACCTGCACCGTGGCCCAACTCACTGCGCTCCCCCCGCCCACGCCCATCACACTTTATCTCCTTGCCACCCGCCTCCCTGACCTCCTTGCCCCTGCGCGCGATGCCCTCCTCTCGCTGCACCCCGCTCACCTTACTATCGACCTCTTCTCCACCTCCCTAGCTCACATAGCAACCGGCATCCGCTCCATCGCTCAGACCACTGGTGCGGTGGCGGTTCCTATGTTTCAGGGCAGCCCTCCGGCCCAGCTCTCTGTCCCTGTTTCCTCCGCCTCTGTCTTTGAGACCGCTTTGACGGTCATTGCGTCCGGTCGCTCTTCTGGTTGTTCGCGATGCTCTGCTGTACGTGGGGCATCGACACCAGCAGGCGGTGGGGGCGCTGGTGGGGCCAGGGGTCGTGGCGGAGGGGCGGGCATGGAGGAGAAAGGGGAGCAGCAGCAGCACCAGAAGCCGCAGCAGCCGCCACCGCTACAGCAGCAGCAACAGAGGTCGCAGCAGCAATAGCAGCTACCGTGGGGGCCGGTGGGCCCTGGGAGTGTTGGGCGTGTTGGGGACCTTGGGGGCTGTGCCCCGGGGCAGTTGGTGCCCTGGGGTTCGAGAGCTGCTGATTCCTATTATCCTAATGTGTATAATCTAGGCTCCTCTGCCGTGTGTAGTCTTGGATCCCCTACTATTTCCCCACCGGCCCTCGCTGCGGCAGCCCTCTCCTTCACACTCGACTTCGGAGCGTCTCACAGCTTCTTCCGAGACCACACTGCTCTCACACTCTTCTAGCGCCGGTACCGGTCTCCTTAGCGCCCGCAGCACAACGACCCTCCTGACCCTGGCTGTCCCATCCTGCTCCCTTACCGGCCTGCACATCTCTACGGTTGCCAGGAATCTGGTTGGTGTCGGTCATATTCAGGACCTCGGTGATACCACCATGTTTCCTTGCCGCGCGCGGTATGCAGCCTGTACCGACGCAGCCACGGACGCCCGCCTCGCCACCTTTGAGCGTGACCCAGTGTCAAGTCGCTTCACATAGATAGTCGTGTCTTCCCAAGTCGTCTCGTCCTGCTCCTGTCGCTCCCTCACCCACCCGGCACTCCTGTGGCACCACCGCTTAGGCCACCATGACCCCTCGCGTCTCCGTCCTATGGCACAGCACAACTTGGTCACCGGTCTCCCCACGTCGCACCCAGACCTCCCTGCCTTGGTAGCGCCCGCGTGCACCTCCTGCGTCGAGGGTCGGCAGTGCGCCGCCCCTCACTCCTCATCTTTTCCTCCGACCTCTGCACTGCTCCAGACCCTGCACATAGACGTCTGGGGCCCCGCCCCGGTCCCTGAGCCTCGCAGGGAACGCTACTTCTTGGTTGTTGTAGATGACTTCTCGCGCTATACCACGGTGTTCCCATAGGAGCAGAAAGCCGATGTGTTGGACACCCTCCTCCCATGGCTCTGAGTCATCCGCGCCCAACACTTCCTGCCGGTGCTCCGCCTTTACTCTGACCGTGGTGGGAAGTTCGCCTTCGACCGTCTTGGAGCGTTCTGTCATGCAAAGGGCATCACCCAGACGTTCACCCTCCCGGACTCGCCGGAACAAAATAGGGTCACTTAATAGCGCATCGGCCTAATCATGGAGTTAGCTTGCTTCTCCATGGTCCATGCCGATGCCCCTTATTTTCTTTGGCCGTTCACGGTGTGGTATGCGACTCACCAGCTTAACATGTGGTCTAGCACCTCGCGGCCGCAAGTTGCCGAAACCCTCCTCTGGACCGGGTCCCCTAGTGATGAGTTTGCATTCCACATCTAGGGCTACCTGGCTCACATCCACGACACCAGCGCGGACAAGCTCTTGGCCCGCACCCTCCTCTGTGTCTTCCTCGGGTTCCCGCTCGACGCTCCTGACTGGCTGTTCTACCACTTGGTGCAGCACAATTTTTTTTCACTCCTGTGACGAGTCTGTCTTCTACTACGCTCGCTTCCCTCGACGTGGCAGTCGTGTTTCTCCTCCCCCTCTCTTCCTCGCTCCTGCCCGGCCTATCGCTCCCCTCCCACCCTGTGCGGCCCCGTCTGGTGTCTCCCACGCCACTCCCCTCCCGTCGGTTGGGCTCGTGGGGGAGTCCGCTGACTCTGGGAACCCTGTGGCTGGGGGTGCATCTGCCGCAGCTCAGCAGCCTCCCCTACAGCGTCCTGCCATAGAAGCAGCACCCGCTTCAGCCATCACCGCAGTTGCAGCTGCAGCAGCAGCAGCGGCGGGAGACTGTGGGCCCTGGGGGTGGTGGTTCTTGGGGTGTTGGTTCTGGGGGTGCCAACTTTGGGGGTGCTGGTTGTGGGGGTGCTAGTCCTGGGGATGATGACTCGGAGAGTACTGGTGTAGGCAGTGGTGGGGCGAGGGGTCCTGGCGTGGGTCGAGAGCCACAGCAGCAGTAGCAGCAGCCCAAGGCACCAGCCGCAGTCTACCTTTCGTCTCCTCTGCCTTTCCTCCAATTCCCCTGACCACGAGCCCGTGCCTCCCACAGCGCCTCCCCTCCCGCCTGCCCCCGTCTACAACCCGCTAATCCGTCAACCGTACTCATCTCTGCCTCGTTTTCCCCCTTGTTCTCCTCCGTTCCCTGTACCATCCCCCTTTGCCAACCCGTGGATGTGTCATCCCCTGGTGGTCGTCGTATCTCTTCTCGTGCTCATATCCACCCTATGGTCTTTCGTTCTCGTGCTCCTCCAGTCCCTGTCATGCCATTACCTCCTCTGTCGTCCCTACCCGTTTCCTCCGCTCCTCCCTCTGACTCTTCTCCCACTGCTCGCCGAGTAGTCTCCCGCTTACTTGCCTCTCTTGTTACAGACCCTAAAGCTCCTCCTGCTACTGTCTCTTCCCTCGTCGCTGATGTTACCGAATTTGTTGTGCATCACTGCCTTGTCTACGCCTCCGCTTTGGTCTCTGACCCTGCCCATCCTCTGTTCGTGGGGGGTGCACATGCCCTTGGCAATGACGTCCTAGATGATAGGCAGTTTGAGCTGGCTTTCCTTGCGGCTTCTGTACCCCATCTCTGTGCCATGCTAGTGTACCCGGGCGCCCTGTACATCCCTACCCGTACTCATACGTTGAGACGGCTTCGGGGATATCGACAGCCCAATGGATATAGGCAATGGAGGGAAAGGTGGCATCTTTTATGGCCACTGTCACTTACATCATTGTAATTTCTCCCCATGGGGCGAACATAGTCGATAGCATGTGCATCAGGCTTGGGATGTACTGGCGCGCTATATCTAGCGTAATCCTGCCGTAATCCCTTAAAACCAATAGCCTCGCGTGGCTATACATAGGGTGATTCCTTTTCTAGAAGGGTCTATTCCCTTTGGATAGGATAAACCTGGTTACCTAATGTACTTCAGAAGTATACAAGTGCCTTGTATCAATCGATAGTGCAACTTTTCCTCAACACATTCGATCCTGTAACACGTGGTAATCAGAGTTTTTTCTCACACAGCCGCGCTCAGCTAAGCAGAAGCAGCGGGAAAACCTGCCTTGAAAAACCGCCGGGGGCGACTAATTCGGCGCCGATTCAAGTAAGCACCAGCTCCGCTTTTTTTGAATTAAACCCTCCGCGCGTGTTTTGAACTGGATGGCGAACTTCGACAACGCTGAGGTTACCCAGGAGCTCTTCGCGAGCATTGCCGCCCTTCAAAAGGAGATGCGAGCCGATCGCGAAGCTTGGCAAAACAAGTTCGAGCGAGTAACTCGACTCACCGGCGCATTGCACGAAACGACAACGTCGATGAGCGATCGAAATTCCGACGTCCGCAGATGGATCGCTGGCATGGAGATCTACTTCGCAGCCGTCGGATGGAGCTCGCCAGTCTGGGACGGTCAACGCGTACGACTCGCAGCGACACTTATGCGAGGGTCGTCACTCGAGTGGATCGGCGGCAACAGTACTTTCATCCACGGCGAAGCCACGTGGCAGCAGTTCCGCAACGACTTGCTGAAACGCTTCGAGCCGATAAATTCGGGTTTCCTTGCTCAGGAAAAAACTCATCGTCATCGACAGTTCGGGAGTGTAGCACAGTACACGCAACAGATGGAGGAATTTTATAACCGCATTCCTGAACTAGCTGAAGGGGAAAATGTACCGTCATATCTCGCCGGGCTGAAGACCGTAGTCAAACGACATGCAGCAGCAACAAATTAAGCGAGCTACAGTGACGTCGTTTCGGCAGCGGAGCGGTTTGACATGGTCAACGACGGAACACGACAGGCGCACATCAGCAGAACGTGACAGGGCGACCGCTCGGCTCACCCCACGTCCGCCGACCCGATGGAAATAGACAGGTTCGACGGGCGGTCACGTCAGAAAAACACCAACTACACGTGTGATTTTTGCGGGGTGCCGGGCCATCGAATCTTCGACTACAACAAAATGAAAGCCACACGAGCAGAGTATCGGGCACACAGCAGTGTCGGAACTTCTTCGGCCAATCAGAAGACAAAAAACGGAATTCGTCAATGATTGCGGATCTAGCCGGCGAAAAAGAGAAGTTCCGAAAGCGGCGGTGGGATTCCGGGAAAATCAACTTCAACGAAGCTGATTCGACGCGAGCAGGAGGAAATGATGGGGAAAATCTCCACCCCACGACCAGTCTTCGCCACGGAAAATTGCCGAGAAAAAATCTGACTACGCGAAAAAGGACTCTGCTAAGACGGGGAAACTCCGAGAAGACCCAATAAATGATAAGGATTCGTTAAAATTTTCCGATAAGGATGTTTTTATGAAGAAATATGATTCTCGAGGGGCTAGAGCATTGGAGAAATTTCGGGAGGGACTCCAGAAGAAGCAGAAACTTGTGGAGATCATACCGGTACCGGAAAACTTGGGGACAAAATTAAGGAGTGTGGAAAGAAGCTGACCTTTCCACATAGTCCACGTCCTCTCCCGACACCAGCCCACAACGACTACCCGTTCCCCAGGGAAGATGTCGGTGGAGCTGAAGCAGCTCAGGAGGAAGCCGAGGGTCTACAAGCATCTGCAAAAACCCCGAACTCCTCCTTTGGATGCATCCAGCTCAGCAAATTGAGTATCAACGACACACACAGTCGTCAAGAAAGCTCGGGGTCCTGAGGGAGAGACTTTCTCCAAGCAACCTCGGCCAGCTGCTAACCCACGAGCAGATAGCAAGAAAAAGGTGTGTACGGAATATTGGGATGTACCCTATGATCCTATTAACGAAGCTATCTTTGGGTACTCTGAGCAACGCCCGCCCCTCGTGCTCGAGGTCATCTGCAAAGGACGACGCCTCCAAGCACTCGTGGACAGCGGAGCATCACACACCGTCTGCGAAAAGGCAGTAATCGACCGACTTCGGGAAGAGTATAAGCCTTCAGCATTCTCTGCAATGATGGTGGACGGCAGCAAGTTACCAGTACACGGTGAAGCAGTGTTACACCTACAAATCGGACCATTGTGCTGGAAACCTGCACTCCCCATCACCAACATAAAAGAGCTTGACTTGATCTTCGGGCGAGACTTCCTAAAAAGATTCAACCCTGAGATCAACTCGGTAAATCGTACTGCGCGCATCTGCAACAATGGTAGGAGAGTCCAGCTACCCAACTGGGACGATCCAGGAGATATCCCAGTGGAGACACTCGCAATATTCGAGAAGGACGTAAAGCGAACCGACACCGGGTTTCTGGCGATAGCGGCAGATGTGGAAAGCGACGGAGAGAAAACCTCAGAACCTCCACTTGACATGCTTGACCAGCTTCAGGGAGCCACGGTATTTTCCAAACTAGATCTGAGGTCCGGATACTGGCAGATACAGTGAAGGAAATAAGTGGGCTTATTAATCCACTGCAGTACATAGACTTTGTGATTTTGGCATGATATGTTGTTATAACCCAACCATAACATATTGCAAATTGTGCCCCTTGACGTCAGCTACACAATGCACTTGGGTGTTGTAAATTTTATCGATTTTATAGTAAAGAGTACAATATTAAGCGTTCGTTACTCGATGCGGACACTTTAGGCCCACTTCGCGTCCAGATCTATTTCCTGCCTGCATTACGCGACCTCACAACCTACGCTGCCATTTTTCTCTCGATAGTCCAGCGGCAACTACTCCAAGCCCCAGCGACGATGCGGCCGCTTCTTTCGAGCCAGAAAGATAGGATCGCGACACTTATTAGTCAGGGCGAGAGTATTCGACAAATCGCTAAAGCATTAGGAATAGGAAAAAGCACGGTACAGAAATATGCTCACGAAGCCTCCCAGCGCTCGAGCAGCCTAGCGGTAAGGCCTAATGTTGCTAGGAACGGCCGACCGTGCATACTCTCGGTTCGTGATAGGCGCTCTCTGGTCCGAGCCGTCACTTCTGGCCGAGCGAATACTAGCATAGAAGCCGCGAAACTTCTAGAATCAGAGCGCGGCATCAAGATATGCCCTAGAACCGTGCGCAACGCCCTGAAGAACTCCGGTTTAGTAGCCGTGCAGAAACCGAAGAAGCCGCGACTTTCTGCCAGAAATATCAGAGACCGACTCGATTTCGCCAGGGCGCATCTTGACTGGACCGTTGAAGACTGGAAGGGGGTTATCTGGTCCGACGAGACCAAGATCAACCGCTTTTCCAGTGATGGCCGCAAGTACGCGTGGATACGCGATGGGGCAGCTCTGCAACGTCACCACATTCAGCAAACCGTCAAGCATGGGGGCGGGTCATTGATGGTATGGGGATGCATGACTTATGATGGCCCGGGCTATATGTGTAAGATTGACGGCCGCATGGATGGGGAGCTGTAAAGAAGCATTTTACATGATGAGCTTGCTCAAACTATCGATTTCTATAGTCTAACCCCCTCGGATGTAATTTTCCAGCATGACAACGACCCCAAGCACAAGAGCCGCCGTGTGCAAGCATGGCTGGCTGAGCAGCCGTATGCAGTCCTCATGTGGCCTGCCTCCTCCCCTGATCTCAACCCCATCGAGCACCTGTGGGCACACCTCAAAAGGGAGCTCGCCAAGTATGAGCACCCCCCCACGGGGATGCTCCAGACTTGGGAGCGGGTGCAAGAGACATGGGATGGGATTGGGGCGGATGTGTGCAGGGCCTCATCAACAGCATGCCTAGGAGGGTGAAGGCAGTGGTTAGGGCTAAGGGGAGGTGGACTAGGTACTGATTTTTGATTGTTAAACACTTTCTTCAAATCTGGCCAAAAGTGTCCGAATGGTGCTTGGTGAATGTGGTTGTTGGTTTGGCATTATAAACATGCCCTTTCAGGCTGCATGACATGTGCTCTTCTTGCTCATGAGGCATTATACTAGTATATTAAAGCCCCCTGTTTTTAATACTCTGTATGAAAAATACACACGCATTTTAGCCTCTCAAAGGGTCAAGATATGGACAGTTTTTTCCGTCACTGTACAAATGGCGGACAATTCCATCCACAAAATTGCCTTCCGCTCTCGGTACGGGTCCTACGAGTATCTGGTAATGCCGTTTGGGGTCACCAACACACCGGCAACGTTCCTAGCCGAAATGAACCATATTCTACGCCCACTTTTGGACGAATGTGTGGTGCTGTACCTGGACGACATCCTCATCTACTCACGTGACATGCAGCAGCACGTCCAATACCTGCGATGCGTCTTCGACATTCTTATGACGAGAACGATTCTACGTCAAATTATCCAAGATCGAATTCGCCCTCGAGAAAGTCCAATTCCTAGGACACATGGTAAGCTCTCAAGGAGTTCACATCGACCCCAAGAAGATCGAAGCCGTATGCACGTGGAAGACATCTGAGAACGTGAAGGAGTTGCAGCTGTTTCTAGGCTTCGCTAACTATTACAACAGGTTCGTGCCACAGTACGCGAAAATCGCAACACCACTAACAAATCTGCTGAAGAAGAACATGCCCTATAAGTGGGAACCAAAATATCAGGAAGCCGTGGAGCAGCTGAAACAAGTACTCACGTCTGCACATGTACTCATTTTGCCAGACCCTGAACGTGACTTCCTCATCGAAGCTGACGCTAGTGACCAGGCGGTGGGAGCAGTCTTAATGCAATACCAGGAGAATGGACTACAACCAATCGCCTACCTCAGCAAGAAACTACACGGGCAGAACTAAACTAACCGATACACGACAAAGAGGCCCTTGCTATTATCATCGCCTTCAAATCGTGGAGATGTTATCTCGAAGGACGAAAAACAATCGTCTCGTTAGCAACAAAACGCTCACCGGTATTGCAAAGCACTACTACTGGCCCCACATGGCAGACGACGTCCAGAAATTCGTCACCTCGTGTGCTACATGTCAGCGGATGAAGAGCACCAAGCTGAGAAAAGCAGGACTGCTACAGCCTCTTCTTGTCCCAGAACAGCCATGGCACGTGGTTAGCCTGGATTTCATAACCAAGTTACCAACTACCACAAGCGGTCATGATGCAATCCTCCTCGTCATCGACAAATTCTCCAAAATGGGACACTTCATCCGGACACACACGAGAGCGCGCACCGAATAGACAGCACAACTATTCGTTTGCTATATCATCTCACAACATAGCATCCCAACCACACTCATCTTCGACCGAGACCCCAAGTTCACCAGCAAGTTCTGGAAGGAACTGATGTCTCTGCTAGGGAAAAAACTCGCCATGTCATCCGCTTACCATCCACAGATAGATGGACAGACCAGGCGCCTAAACCAAATTGTAGAGCAACTCCTCCGCGCAGCATGCAAAAATGAAATCTCTAAATGGGACTTGCATCTACCCGTCCTGGAGTTTGCCTACAACAATGCTACTCACGCCGCTACTGGACAGACACCGTTTTTCCTCTGTTATGGAGGCCACCCACTCACGCCACAAAAACCGACAATACCAACCACAGTCCCACCCGCACACGACTTCATCACGGCCATGCATCAGCTTTGGGATCGGACCCACAAGCGCCTCCTCGACATTCATCAACAACAGAAGCGTCAGGCTGATCGCCACCGCACTTACCACACCATCATCATGGGAGAACAAGTTCTACTCGACACCCGCAATCTCGACATCAGTCATCTCCCATCAAAACTACGACCTCGCTTCTGCGGGCCCTTTCTCGTCGAAGCACATGTCACTCCTGTTACCTTCCGCTTACGCCTTCCATGTCCAACTTCTATAGCCATATCGAGATCCTAACACGGTCTTCACTGGACGCCAGCTGCCACCGCCGCCACCCGTCCTCGTCCACGATGAACCCGAGTACGAGGTCGAGTCCGTGCTCGCACACCGTCGTCGTCGGAATGGCGAAGTGGAGCTTCTCATTCGTTGGAAGGGTTATAATCCTTCTGAGGATAGTTGGGTTCCTGAATCCGAGATGGGTAACGCTCGTCGTCCTCTTCGCGACTACCTTGTCAAGCAGGGTGTTACTTCTACCACCCAGCTTTGAGGGGGGAAAGTGTGAGAGTACGATCCCGTTACACAAATTTTCCATTACCATCTTTTTCCTTTATTTCATTCTCCTTTTTATCCTGATTCCTTTGATCTTAATCACATCCCATTTGGTTACCTATTCCTCTTTTTCTCATCATCCTTTGTTTATCCTATCATTATAATTATATCACCGACCAGGCTCGGGATGTACTGGCACACTATATCTAGCGTAATCCTGCCGTCATCCCTTAAAGCCAATTGCCTCGCGTGGCTATAAGCAAGGTGATTCTATTTCTAGAAGGGTCTATTCCTTTTGGATAGGATAAACCTGGTTACCTGATGTACTTCAGAAGTATAAAAGCGCCTTGTATCAATCGATAGTGCAACTTTTCCTCGACACATTCGATTCTGTGACAATGACCACGATGGCCGGTAGGACCTCGACTAGGCGGATGACCGCATCCCCGCGGAACAGCCAGCGGATGTTGTGGATGCCCTGGAGCTCGAGGTTCGTCGACATGAACACGTCTTGGAGCTCCAGGAAACGTTGATGCCAAGGGTTGGAGCGACAGAGCGGCTCAACGATCTCGCGAATGACATTGTCCACCATGCTGAAGACAGGGATCTCCTTAGCAGCTGCCTTCGCCGCCAGCGCCTCTCTACGTGGGATAGGGAGATGAGATGCAAACTAGGAAGAAAATTAGGGATTGTCATTATAAACAAACCAAGAAGCAAATATACATGACATGTACACAACAAACGGATGACGAACCGATGGGCAATGCAATGGCAAGAGATAAGGTGCGGAACGCAAATATGAAGGCAGGCCACAAGTCCAGAGCACGATCCCATCATGACGGCAGCACTGTCAGTGCTTATTCCAGGGATGCGGCCGAAGTCGACACCAATCGCCTGCACATGGGACAGCAAGAGTGCGAGAAGCGATGCCGCATCCGCATTATCCGCTGTCAGCAGAGTCAGGTACTCGGTTACAAGCCTCCCTTCCCGGATGAACGTGGAAGACACAATCATGTGCTTGTCACGGCAGCGATCGGTGCTTTCATCGAGGCTCCGGCCAACGTAGGGACTGGCCAGTTGGTGTTGAAGTTGAGTCATCTGCAGCCACGTTGTCGTTGCTTGTGTCAGCTCGCCGAAGCCGTACCTGTTATACGACATGCACAAGCCAACTCATTATAAGTTTCATATGTAAAGACGAGACAAAGAGAAGTTCATAGTTACTGGAGTTCTCACCAAGTATAGTACGTGCCGTAGGCGGACTTCAGGAAGCCCTTGAAACCGCGCAATGAGAGGTAGCGCACCAAATGAATCCATGTTTCCATGGGTTCGTTACACTTGGCGCAGAAGTAGAGGGAGTCGAGCAATGCGATGACTCGCTCCTTCTCTTCGTCAGCCGCGTGGGGATGCATGTCGATCCGCTGCTGGTTCGGCGCCAGTTGCAGGAGATCGTCCTGCTTGGACATGGCGAGGCAATGCTTCTGAGTCCCGGCATGCTTCTTGAACGACTAGGTCTGCACGTCGGTAGCTCCCTTGCCCGATTTGCCGGTACGCCCTGCAGGTCCCGCATGCACTGCGCATACACTGCACTTGAAGGCCGGGAGCCCATCGTCAGTTTTCAATAGCATGAGCCAAGGGAATGCTCATGTCAGACCTCCGAGATTTGAAACGCTCATGTGCCTCAGCATAGATGTCCTTGTTCGTTCTAGCAGTGGACCTACCGCCAGATGATTCTGGCGTATCTGCAAGTAAAGAGGGGCTCGGCACTGGCTCAGGCGGATCCTGGCATGTCGACGTGGAGGCGTACGGCAGTATCACCTGCCTGTAGCGGAACCTCTTCGCCGCCGTCATCGACGGCGGTGTGCCGTCTACAGGAGCTGAAGCATCGGGCAAGGGACTTGCATCCGCAGACTTCTTGCCCGCTGCGTCGGGAACATGCGCATCGCCATCAGCAGGGGCAGCGTCACTAGGCTTCCTCGAAGGGCTACAATCGGATGCATCGGACTGCCGGAGGAAATCTAGCGCGGCGCGACCATCACGGAACTTCTCGGCACACCAATACTCTTCTTCTTCTTCGTCATAATCTGCCTCGTCTTCGTCCTCATCGAGGTCGGCCTGCTCCATGGCCTGCAGGCGCGGTGGGAAAAAAATGCACTGATAGAAAACCGAGGGGCTACACGAAGCTTGGGTGAAGCTTTGCTGGAGGGGGGACAAGCAGTGACGTTTTCCCCGTCAGTAATGAACTGATGGAGAAGGAGGGGGTCTGCCAGCTGCAAATCCATTACGGCGCGTGAGATGCGGCCCATGAATAAATGAACGAGGCACTCGTCGCGTCAGCATGGGTGCAGTGCCTCGTCTGTTGTCCCTCGCCCATCAAAATGCCTGGACTGGCGAAAACAGCCGTGTTTTGGTCAAGGACCAATCGGCTGCTCGGGCTATCTCTGTGCTGGCGCCATCATACAAAATTTGCCCGCCCGACGGCTCAAGCCACGCCGGCGCAAATGTAAATTTGGCGTGATTGACGGTGATGACAGGTACCAACGCAAATCTCGCACCCCCCCCCCCCCTCAAATGATGGTATTAGAGGAATCAGAGTCCCCCCCCATACAAGGATGAAGCATCAGAGTACACTTGTAAAAGAAGTCTGAAAAATCAGCGTAGGTACATAATGTTAGAATACGTGAATGATTACTAGAAGGAGAAACCTAGAACATATACTTGTTGGGTTGTACTCACTAGAAGCACACACCTAGTCTAGCCTATAACTTCTACATAGAACATATGCATAAGTTGACACACCCCCTAGGCTAGATAAGGGATGGTGCTAAGCAAGAAGTACACAGCTCAGGGTGGCACTACTGAGGCAGGGGTCCGGAGACCAATCAGCAAGAGTACAAACAAGACAAAAGCAAGCCAGGGCGGCACTACTAGTCCAGCCACTGGAGGTAAGGCCACAAGGCCAGTCAGACAGGTATATATAGTAGAGAGTACACAATCATGGACCTAGCAAATGAGAAACTACAGGAACAAGACCAAGCTGTACACAGTGCCGCTGATGATCTTTAGGCGCAAGCGCCTTCGTATAGATATCAACTGTGTTGGCACCGGAGGCCAAGTGAACTACACGGGCCTGGCGACGCTGCTGTAACTCGCGCAGGAGGAAGTACCGCAGCTGGATATGCTTCGCTCTGCCCTCAAGCCGAGGCTCTTGACACAGGAGGACGACCGTCACCACCACCACTACCACCACCACTAGTGCCACCACCACGACCTCCCTGGCGGCCACGGCCACCGCGGCGCGGACGCTGCTGCGGGTGGACCGCAGCTGCTGTCTCGGTAAGAGGGGTCGCAGTGGCGACCGCAGCCGAAACGTCAGTAAACGTGCACTGGGAGGGGGCACAGCCGTGAAAGATAGAGATTGCCGACGCACCGCTCGACTGAGCGATAGTGCGCTGGCACGTCTCGATCTCGGTGAGGGTGTCGACAAAGGCGGTCAGTGTGAGGTCACCCGGGTGCTGGCTAAGGAAGCGGTTGCGGGCACTAGCTAGGCGGTCTGGCAGGCGCATGGCGATAAAATAGAGGGTCATGCAGAATGGGGGGGGGAGCGCAGTGAGCTGGGCAGCACTGCTGGCAGTGCGATAGCGAGTCTCTAGGGCACGCAAGTGAGTTGCAAAGTCTGCGACAGTAGGGAAGGCAGCAAGGTCTGGGAACAGCATCGG